TCAGAGTGTGACAGCCAGTTGAAGAGGTGGCTGGGTGTGGGCTCTGGATTGGTTAGTTTGTATGTGAAAAGTGCACCCACGGGCGAGTTGTCCACTCTCCCTAGGAGCCGGCTAACCCTGGGAGGGGCAGGGCCTCCAGGGTCAGCAAGGTCCCAAAATGTCAAAGCCTCAGAATACAGAAAATAAAAGACCTGGTTAGTGCAACGCCCCGCCCATCTAGCTGCGTGGCCGTCCTCGGTGCCAAAGGAGAAGCAGCAGAGAGGGCGCTAATGGAGGTGCTCCCACCTAAGAAAGAGTATGCTTTTTAAAAAACTTACACTTAAAATAATTAAAATGGTATGGTTCAGTGGTATTAAGAATATTCATAATGTTTTGCAACTATCACCACCGTCCATCTCCAGAACTCTTCATCTTGCAAAACTGGAACTCTGTCCGCATTGAACAATAACTCCCCATTCCCTGTCCCCAGCCCCTGGCAACCAACCAGTCTACTCTCTGAATCTGACTACTCTGCCCTCATATAAGCAGAATCATGCAGTATTTGTCCTTTTGCGACTGACTCATCTCATTTTGCATAATGTCTTCGACGTTCATCCACGTTGTAACATGTGTCGGAATCTCCTTCCTTTTTAAGGCCAAATAACATTCCACGGTGTGTATATGCCACATTTTGTTTATCCATCCATCCATCCACGGAAGAGAAAGTATTCTTTAGGTCAGGGCTTTACTGGTTATAAGAAATGGTACAAAATCATCTAGCTCGTGCAGTAAACGCTCTTAGGAACGTGGAGGTGATCTCTGGATGCCAAATCTGAAGTGAGGATCAGTAGGTTTTCATAGAGAGGAGCTGAACTAATGCTGCTTATAATCCCTGCAAGTGTGATGTTACACATATTTAGTCACAGTTGAGAAATATATTATCCAGCAATGCTCACAGTCGTAATGCAGAATGTAAGGGTAACAATTTGACAAGCCTTTTGTGATAGCAATTAACTGAACGTAAGATCCTGCCCCACTGATAATCCGAATGCAGTCACCAACTGCTCTGGCATTGAGATTTTTAAAAAATTAAGCCAAAAGCTGAGCTTAAGCCAAAGCAGAATGTACTCCAGCAAAAATGAGGCCTTCCCTACCCACCCTCACTCTGATGGTTCTCCATTTCTGCCCCAGAAGCCCCTGCAGCTGGGAGGACCAAGAGGCAGTGCAGGAGGGGGAGCCCCTGGGCGTGGGCTCAGCCCATTCAGGTACACACGAGCTGTGCGCCGCCCTAAAAGGGAGGCGGCCTCACCAGGGCTTGGTCCTCGTGCGTAAAATGAAAGGACCAAATTGCATACAACCAGCTCACCCAGCCCTGAGCTTACCACGTGATTACTGTTGTAGATGACCTGCTGTCTTTTTCGTCTTACCTCTAAGCTTGAGTAACCTCATGTAGCAGGTAGAGCTCGAGTCTCAGCTGCACCTGAATCTCAGCATTGCAATTCACTGCCCACGTCACCTTAGACAGAAGACATAACCTCTTGACCCTGTTGTCTCATCTGTAAGCTAGAGGTAAACATAACACTGACCTTGTAAGACAGATGAGCGATTAAGTGAAGTCACGGGATGTATGTCAGGTAGACTGCAGGTCCTCAGTGGGGTACGACTCCCCCTCCACCAGGACTGAGAGCAGGAAGCACGCCGATGCCCCCCTTTCCTCCTCCACAGTCTTGCCCATCACGGGTTTCTCTGGAAACACCCACCGGCTGATGGATACAGAGGTTACACGTGGGGAGAAAAAAACTTAGGATTTTTATCTCAAAGCTAAAAAGCTTCTGATTTTAATTCTGTTGCAGAAACTGGAAGAGAAGTTCCGGCTGAACAGACGAGAACTGATTGCCTTTGAATTCCCGGTGTTGGTGGCCTTGGAATTTGCCCTTCATCTGCCAGAGCACGAAGTCATGCCCCATTACAGACGCCTGGTCCAGAGTTCCTAGCACAGGCCTCCGAGGAGGGCCAGGGGCCACTTCCTCTGGGCGCGGGCGAGCAGCACTTACTGCTGGAAAGGCAAAAATAGAACTCGGCTGACCAAACGTTTTTCCTCTCGACATGTTTTTGTGTAGAAGCAGTACTGGGAGCTTTTCAGGGAGTCTTGTGTCTGGCCAGCAGAGATGAGCCGTGAACTGTTTACTGCTCAGCAAGGAACGGGAGCCCCGTGCAGAAGACCGCTCTCCCAGCTCTCCGCGAGCAAGGCTTCCTCGCGGCCACACGCAGACCTTGCAGGCTTGTCCCCGGGTCTTCTCTCCAGACCCATTCCAACCCAGAGCGTGAAGTCCTAGAGCAGAGGAGGGGAAGGGAATTTGCAGAAGTTGGAGGAGAGCTTCTGGAAGACACGCTCCCTATGTCAAAAGAGCGTGCCAATTTATTTTTGTATCCGCTGTTGGAAGTGCACTTTCCCCTGGGGCGTGTGGATGAGCGAGTGTGTCAGTGTGTGTGTCTGAGAGAGGCCACGTCAGCCTGCCACCCCCAAGGCCAGCCCCACCCTCTACAGAGAGACCTCAGCCTGGGGTCTGGGGCCAGGCAGACCTGCGGCAATTATTTCTAGACAATCTCTGGATAAGCACCACTCTCTGCATAACCTCCTCTGCCCTTAGCAAATGCCATTGTTTCTGTTACTGCTCCTACTGCCACCAGCGGGGCAGAGACCAGCTCTCACGGGCGGACGCAGCAGGGAACTCTGTCCCTTTCCGCCGTCACGCCCTGTGCGTCCAGCGCACCTGCGCACTTTCCCCACTGTGGAGACACTGGGGCTGGGCTCGTGGTGTGTATTCCTGTGCTCTATGTTAGAGTGCACCATAGGCACATTTATTGTGCTGGAGATATACATACATATATATATATATTATATATAAAGTGTTTTATAAAAATCCAGAATAGGGGTAAGACGCATGATTGGTGTTTTGAGGCTTTTGACAGCTGGGACAAACTGTCTTGAGCCAAGGTTGAAAGGCAGTGACTCACCATCGCCACGTCCTCAGGGCTGTTAGTGCAGAGTTTTCATTGTAACTTGTACTGACTCGCTGGGACCACCTGTACGGAGGCACCTCACCG